TAAATGAAGGGCATTAGAAATTTAGCCGGGATTCTTTGTTAAAAGAAAGTTGTGTCACTTCACTAATGCAAACTCATAAAACAAGATTTCGAAGACATATTCTGAGACTACAAATATGGAACTCAAAACATATAGACGTGTAGATCGATAGTTAGTAAACTGTAGCCAGAATCTATCTATCAGTCGTAGTGGATTAAACAGACAAGTAGAAGTTGCAACGAGAGTAGCCTTTTGACTCACAGATGACAGAAACACTTGCCGTCTAGAGGTAGTGTAGGCGAAATGACTCAGATAAGCAGTACAAACTGCTGGTATTTGATCAGCACACATTACAACCTATATTTCACTGGGGCCCCCGAGTCATTTACATAATGCAGTCGTACCAAACTCAGTAGAGGCGACTCCCGCTTGGTTGAAGTGATAGCTAGCAGATATTTTGACCCTATCTAGTGCTGTCAAAAATGTTTTACGGACACCAGCTCCCGAGTATATGGTCGGGCACGCGCGTATACACAAACCCATTTCCAGATATTGCTCACACTGCCCTACGTGCAGCCCAAAGCTACTGCACTGGTGACCTTGTACATTAAAACTTTGTGCACGTGACACTTTGGCTAACAGTGACTCGGAAAGGATAGACGACCAAAATGAGTTGTGAATCTCCTGAATACCAATCAATACAAACTGGCTGCATTTAATGTAGGAATGGAAACGCTTATCACTACTCAGGTTACTGCTTGCCGGTAGTTGACGCGGAAGAGAACCATACCTCAAATCGAGTTCACCAGACATCCGGTCTGGTTGGTGCGCGCATGGTCCGAGAGGTTCACGTCTCAACCCGGTCTCTAACTGCCCGACAATGCGCAATAAGATCATGAAATTCGATCAAGCCTCCACATTTTTTGTCTTGGATTATCTACTGATACTTAAATATTACTTAGAATACAATTTAATTGCGCACTAAGCAACGCCAACAAATGTTTCGGCAATTGCTTACACCTAGGTCGGTAAACAATCACACCTTTAGGGTTTCACTACAATGAAATATAGAAACGGTCCCCTTCGTCTTTGATTTCAACTGGTCTGCAAGTCCGAGAAAAATTTTGAAAGATGTATACTACCACGCTGAGAGTTCCTGTTTGGTGACCGAAGCAGCAGCAAATGGTGAAATAGCTGTTTTGACCATTGAGTCGTTACTTATATCTGACTTCTGATTTAAACTTTGTTCAACGTTTTTTGGCTTGTTCCACGTAGGCAGGGATTTTGCGCTAAATAGTGCGGATGTTTTTGAAATCATATAATCATAATATCAACCGTTAAATTGCTCTACATCAGTTTGCATCCTCAACCGTATATTGGAAATGAGGTTGATATTAGCGAAAACTCTGGAATGATCTTACCTGCCGAGTTGAGGATGAATCAACTATTCTGCTTTTACCGCTTGGTTTATTATCAACTGTGACTTCATGATATCCGTGTGCAGTCGTTTCCCGTCTGCATTTATCCAGTACATATGACCCATTTGTTCCACAGATTATTTGGTCCTTCGATATCAGTGAAATTCATGGAAGTTGTCAGAAATTAACACCTCCTTCCTAGCCGAAGCACCTGTCCTTTTGTGTGAAATGATGCCAAAACCCACGTCCAATGCAGTGAACTGAATTCATTTTGTGAGTGACTTCCAACGGGATAAAGAGCTTTTTCATTCTATTATACGCCTATCAACTGTTTCAGTTGAACAACTGTGCGAGAAAATTACGGGCTAGTATTTAGAGTGCCAGGATAAAAACTTTCTCACGCATTCGTTCACACAGATTTTATATATGTATATTTATATATACAATCAACAAAACTGTATAGTCTAAAGCATCCTCATCATACAAGCCGAGTTTTACAATAATCTGGGCTGCCTGGTTGTAAAAAAACCTAACAAGTTTTTGAGCGATCATCTGTTGAAATATCACCAGAATTAGATTAACTTGTAGTGTGTGTGCCACCGTTTTGTATTTTGTTGTTGACCTGTATCTACGTAGCTCTGCCTTTTATAGACTTAATTTGAGAAATTCCAGTTTGTCTAGATAATGGACCCGTCTAACGTCCTTATCGAAATTAGGGTCGATTATCAACTTCAGTTCAAGAATTATCTGAGGCGAGTCGACTCCAGATTTTTTCAACATCTATGCTTTTGATTTCCATCGACCTTTCTGGTAAACTGGCTAGAAGGTCAGTAAATGGTGGGGTCTACCTCCTGTTATAATCCACACAGTCCTTATATTTTCCTTCCCAAAATTTTTGTTTCGTACATGCTTCGACAGATTTGAACAATGGAAGAGTCTCTAATTCACTTGAGTAAAAACCTATCTGTAATTTGTCAGTTCTTAATTTGTGCTTGAATATCAATAATGACCATTAGCAGACTAGAAGTGACTTCACACTGTGCTGTTTTCAACACACCAGTTTGCGTACTCAACTCATGGGAAACTGTTTGGTCCGTTTTGCCTGTGATAATACGTCGCACCGACGCAGCCAGTTGTGTTCTCTTCCAAAGTAGTCATGTAAACATCTAGAGTAGGAGCAGGTTATTACAAGTTCAACGACCATGGGCTTAATGGCGACGAACGTAGGCAAAAATAACTGGAAAATACCTTGAAGACGCCTTGTATAATTTGAGTTGGACGGTCTAGCTTCTTACACGTCGGTACCGCTACATTATCAGTCTTTCGTGTCATAATTTATCGAAACACAACCTGTGATAACTACGTACGTCCGAGGTTGTAACAAGTCCCATTTAATGAAAAAGGCAGACGTAGTCTCCGGCCGAATGCCCTACCTTTAGAAATTACAGAACAGTAGATCTGACAGAAAATCAGGAGGGTCCTTGTTTCAGAGCGTATGCTTGTGAATTCAATTCATGTATATATATATATATATATATATATATATATATATATATATATATATATGCCAACTGTCCTTATTGTGTTTTATTTGGCCACGGCATTTTCGTATTGAAATCGGTGAAGATAAATAATTATTGCATTTTATCCCAATGAGGCCAATCCACGGGATCTGGTTCGAATTCATACCGTTGTATAACAGCCGAATGAATCTCAGATAATTTTCTATACGCCATACGTTATATATCATACTGTTCACCCTAATCCCGTTCAACATAAGGTATTGGCACGGTAAACAACGAATATGACAGGCCGTGAGAGGTGTTTATTCCCTAACTGAGGTAGGCACTCTGAAACATTCTCCGGGGTTCAAAAGTCAGGCATATTCGGGTACCCACCTTCCTCTAGGTTGTTCTATTGGTTGCCCTCAAACGTTTCAAGCAGGTAAAGGAGATTATCTACCGTGATAGCGATTCGTAGATAAACACTGACCACTAATCACTTCAATATGATTCGATGGCACAATGATGAAATTTCACCTGCAATAATGTGTACCGGTGAAATTCTTAGCCGATGCGTGAACCGGTTGCACCTGACATTTTGGTTTTCATGGATGCTTGTGTCATCAGAAAGTACATGCTTACCTTGAAAATCTCACTTGAAAACCTTAAATTGGAGTTGTTAGTTTGGTATAAGACACCATAAAACAGAATTTAGTGGAAAGACCGAATTTGCCGTGTATTCGAGGCAAAATAATCTTGCCCTACCTCTGTCACTACGATTGAAGAGTGCGTGAACTCAGATATCCAAGTTCTGCACAACTATTTTCAGGAAGCAGCGATTGAAAACTAATGTGACCTCCTCAAAGATAACCTTTTCCCCAAGATGATAATCGTTAACCAATTGCAGATACCCGAGCAGATATCCGTGAAGGCTTTTTCAAGAAACCTTTTTTCATTTGATCCTCGAAGGAGGGAAGAAACTTAATTTTCCTTATGTGACCTTCTTAGGATGTGGACTATTTATGGCCACATGAATGAGCTTCTTCGACTGACTGAGCTTAAGACACGGCAACTGAACGTAGCATCAGTGGAACAAGGTTCATTCTTGTCGGTCTCAAAATGTGTGGTAGACGTTATAATGAACCCAGTTGAACACAAGCCAGAAAAGGGCTTTTTGGCGACGGCGCTTTATTTGTCAAACTCAACAGACGTATGACGAATGCGCCTGGGAAGAAATCGGTAGAGACAAACTTGGCTTCTTCGAATCCAAGCCTACCGTAACTGGACAAAAAATAGCTGCCAGAGCAAATGGTGGTTAGTCTATCCTAGTTTCGATGAGAACGTTGGTCCTCATTGGAGAGCAATGAAGTCCAAATTGCCCGAACTCTCTGATCCGTTTTTTTTGGAGGGGGGAGGGGGGCTGGCCTTTTGCCAGTTGACCAAATAGTAAAGTTTGCTGGACCGGAACGGAATGTGTCCTTTAGGCAGCTGGTCCACATGCGAATAGAACAAATTGAGGGTAAATACTTTGGTCGTTTTTCTCCCGTTAAACTGCTCAATACTCAACAGTCTCTAATAGTTTATCATCCCTTGAAATCGTGCAATATCGTTTATTCTACTATGTAAAACGACCAACAGCGCTCCCACACAGACTGCGAAGCAATATCTGCTCTTCAAACTGTCAAACAAGGCTGAACACGGAGAATGGAGGTAACTGTTCTTGGACCGTACGTTTTGTTGAATGCAGATATGGTAGCTGAATAGAATTCTCTCATTAGCCTGAAACACCTGAACTGAGCAATAAATTAATGGACTAACGCTTTACCAAGAATTATCCTTTGCCTTGCCTATAACCGAAAGATTTTCGAGCAAGTTTCCAGTGCAGAATACTCGTGGCAAAACGTATAGTCCTCAGAACGGCAGGATATCCTAATATTTAGGCTGCTCAACAAAATTTGTAAAGTAAACTTGATACTAATCTCGAAGTCCGAAGCATTTCGGACACACACGTGATACTGATACAGTGGTGGTTATAACGAAATAAAACAAGAGTCAGACAATATAATTAACTACAGAATGAATGTATCCATCACAAACTTACCGCTATGTATACCTATTGCTAAAAGGCAAAGCAGTAGCAGGCAATTCATCCTGTGTGTGCGTGTGTGATCTATCTCGAGAAAGGCAACTGGATTTAACGTCTGTAGACTAAATAGATTCAGCAGTCTGCGAGTGGTCTGTCCGTCTACATCCACCGAGAATGATCAGACAGGCTAGCTGGCTGATACACTTTATTTGGAGACTTGCGTTTCGTAGGTGACTGATCCCCCAAAAGGTTGCGTCTAGATCACTAATCGTATTGAAATTGACGGAGGCGGTGCGTCTTGCAATTGGACGCTACTTATTGGACCATCCTGTGAAAATAAGCGGATCGAACATAACCGGTCAAATGCTTTAGAATAAACCGTTTCAGGTTAATGTTATCGCATAGTGTTGTGTGAGTTCGCTGCGTGAAGTTTAACTGAAATAATGCCATTAAAGTCCGTTGTTCGCAGGTCGTTCCTGAAAAACCGTGCAGAACTATGTATAGCAGAAACGTCGAGCAAAGTTCGTAGGCAAGAGCACGAAATAAAACTCAAATCCCACCTTGATTTTTCGACTCCGTTATTGAGAAATCCAATGCAGATTTACACCAATGGGAGAAAAGTGCATTGCATTTCCTAAAAAACCAGGAAGTGAATTTCACCCACAGACAGAATCACGTGGCAGCAGACCTTCAGTCAATGTCCCTACCCGAATTAAGTTCCACTTTTTTCGCAAACTCATTTTTAGGTGCTTACAAGTTAGCGCAAAGCGGTCATTCAAAAATTGAAACGAGTCATACTTTCATGAAATGAAACCGCATCTCCGATTTGGTTACCACCGTATACACATCTCTGTTCAGGTGCAGAAATAAGGTTGCATGCTGTGGACGTTTGCTGAATGGTTCTGGAAACAGCCTGATTGGTAGGACAAGTAAAATAACGGAAAAATGATAATATACACAGTGAAACAGCATTACAACAATATGCTACATAACATGCATGAAAAAGGTCAGATAGATCGTAATTTTTTACGTTAAAAGAGACATGCAAAACTGAAAGATCCCAGATATTAGGTCGGTCGGTAGGCAAATAAACAGGCGGAGGCTAACAGGCAGAAAGGTAGATAGATAGATAGATAGATAGATAGAGAGATAGATAGATAGATAGATAGATAAACACCCACAGAGAAGACATCTTAAAACAACCGCGTTACCATAGCACAGCTTACTGCATGTAGCCCACAAACCAGAGTCCGCACAACAGGCGACTATGGACCAACTCACATCGAACTGCGATCGATTGACGAAAAGTTCAAAACTGAATGATGATCAGGCTGCCGGAAGTACGCCTGTTGAGCGTTCATAGGCTCGTGCGTATGCCTGAGGGCCTGATTATGCTCACCGCTTTGTTGGATTTTATTAAACTATATTGGATTTCCTGCTTAAAATTTGATCTGTGAATCCGTTATTATTAACATACACAGATAGACAGATAGATAGATACATAGTTTAACTGGTTGCCTGATCTGTTGATGGATTGATAGATAGAATGCTCCATTGACTGACTGATTGACTGACGGACTGGTTGATCGATCGGTCGATTGATTGATTGATTGACTGAATGAATGATTGATTGTTGATTGATTGATTGATTGATTGATTGACCGGTTTTCTGATCACTTGATTGGCTGCTTGGTTGAATGACTGAGTAGTTGACTGACTTATTAATTTTTCGGTTGATTGGTTGTAAACAACCCACTGGCTAGATAGATAGATGGATTAGAAAGGTAGATGGATAGATAGACCGGCAAAATATTTGATTACTTCTTGCACGAATGAATGAACAGATACATAGCAAAACAGGAATAGGTATGTTTTCAAACTACTGTCCGCGTGATGAAACGTCTGAGCATTCGAAGCTTAATTTTGCTCGATGATAATAAATCGAAGGGCAGAATACTGAAACAACCAGGTGAAGAAGGCTGTCTCTCATCGCACCGTGGAAAGTAGCAAGTTAAAAGACAGCTAAGTGAATTTAAGTAGGAGAACATGCGAGCTTGTCAATGAAAGCCGATGATGTATTTGAGCAGCAATAGTGAGCCATTGTATTAGGAATATGTGAACCAAACTGGAAACCTGCAGAAATGAATGCATTTAAAAGTTCACATTTAACTGTGGAAATGTGAGTAGGAATTGCTACAAACATAGGTTTCAGCCCTTGTTCAGTGGGGATTAAGTTCTTATTTGGAAGCCCAGAATATACACATTCACGTAAAATTATGTAGGAGCAAACTCACAAGTGTTTTCCTTATAAAAAGAGCATTCTATCGGCTTCGAAGTGAACCATCTAGCATTAGCGATCACACTGAAGGCAGAAACTAGGCTTAACTCTGAGCGATGAGATAATTCAGTGCTGGGGTACAGACAAGTCACAAAACAGTAAACGAAAACCTGTTGAAGGTGTGTAGTACGGCTCTATGAAAACTCGTGTTTGTACAGGTTAGAGTGACATTTGGACCCTGGAAGTTTTTGTGCACAGAGCAAATTATTCTAAATCCACAAAGCAATGCTGTCGCGTTTCGTCTTGCGAATCAAGGCTCATCAGACACGACAGATCTTGGTTACTTAACGTTGAACTGCATCCCTCCAGTGAATGCAGTCACACCGGCACGTGAAATGCATGCTCCCTCTGTCTCCTAAAGCGCGTGAGACGTATGCAGCTGAGAAATATTTCGCAAGAGAATAACTTCCACAAACGCTGAAAATGGTTTTGCATGCGCGAAAATAGATTGGAATCATTTTCATGAAACGAACTATGAATAATCCATCTTGCCGAGTTCTTTTTGTTATTAGTAGATCCAATAATCTGAAATGACATAACAGTTTTCTGTGCAGCAACTACTTTGAAAAATCCCGTGATTCGTGTCACAGAGATAGTTTGTGTTCTTTAGTTCGAACGAGAGGATGAATTGATTAACCGTAGTGTAACCACCACATAGTTTTAGTTCAAAAAGTTTATGGCAAAAATGACCAGGTTCTGATGCTTCAAACGCTTGAGAATATGTGCACCAAAGTTAGGTTATGATCATGGACTTCGTTCTGGTCACCGATATAAGATGTTCAAGTCAATTGAGAGCGCTTTAGCATCAAGCAAAACATCATCCATACAAGCATAACTACCACTAAGAAGAAGAAGGCTTTCGCTGCGGAGTTACTTATTAGAAAATGCCAACTGACCAGTTACAGACTATTTGACAGGGAAGAAAAACTCTCATAGGCATCATGTTTACAAAAACTGAACATCCATCTTTCATTGAGCGCGTCTTCCTGAACTTTCTTGGATATCTATTGACTGTTGCTCACATTCAAGCAAATGCTACAAAGCGATACCACAAATTCCGCCATAGATCTCCCTTTTCAAGAGACGCGAAGCGAATTTACAAGAAAACATACTACTCCCATGCCTCCCCCATCAGTAGTATCACCGTTACATCAGCAGTACACTCAATAGCGAATTCCGCGGTTATAATCCGTACAATCCCAAAGGTTCTCACGGGGCAGACATTAAATCCGTCTAAAGCTAAGCACCTGGTGAACAGACGGAACACCAACAACCCATCAGAAAAAATCAGACCTTCTTAATGGATGGATGAGTAAATGACAATAAATAATAATGATAAATAATAAATGATCATAATAAATAATGATAAACAGAATCACAATAAACAATGAGAATAATAATCCTGATACAAATACGCAGCCTCTGCCCACATTTGCAATCATACATAAATCAAAGTTGCCGCTTCGTGTTCAGATTCATTTCCACCAGTACTCGCATTAGCTGGAATCCCCTCACGCATTCTGCTATCTTTCAGATCCATTCAAACAATTTTGAACACCTCAATGACTGGAGATACTTAAATTGGCTAGATTTTTATACTTCATATCCACAGCTTTAGTGATTAAGCTGAACATGCTTTCAACTCAGGGGTCATAGACAAACTTATGCATCTTAACATCATCTCCCTGGCAAGCAATCGCAAAACGTAGGACCATCAGCCGAACTTCTACGTTATGCCAAAACTCTCAGCTGTGCAAATTAAGTTCTCAAAAATCACGTAATACCAAACAATCAGAAGTAGTTTCCCATAGGAGTATATATTCAAAACAAAAGATGTCCCTGGCACTCCAGGTAGTACTGACTGCTCTGGCGGTTCATGGTACAATTTTGCACAAGACTGGATACCGGTCTGGGAACCGAGAATTTCGTTCCACTGGGCAATTTTTTCCAAATTTTCCAAAAGTTTCCCTCCAAAAACACCCGGAATATCTGAAACTAGCTCCCTCAAACTATAGGACGTCATATCTATATCCTGTGTATCCTTTGTTATTTTTGTTGGATTGAGAGGAACAAGGCACAGCAGTCCGCCTTCTGTACTGTGCTGTACTTCTGGAAAGTCGACGGTAAAATAGTCTGATAGGGAAACAATAGGTAGTCTTATTCAAGAGGAGCTAATGGTAGAACAATCCATCACAAGCATGTGAGCAGTGTCATGAACTGGTCATCATCATAAAGGAAACTACTCACAAGGTTGCTGAAAACTCTTCGACAGCACACGACCGCTTCCGCCCTCCTTGGGGCTCATCAGGTAGACGCATTCCCCGAGTTTCCCTCAACCTTGTGTTCTACTTGAACTCGGTCGTGGGCTATCGAAGAGTTTTCAGCAACCTTGGGAGTAGTTTCCTTTATGAATATATACTGCGATATCTTGAATATCGTACCAAAAGAAACATGAGGTGGCCTGTGTGCAGCACATCCAGTTGTAGAACATCATAAACTAGAGATTCAGTTGAGTTACTCGTAAAAACTAAATTGAGCTGGTCATCATCACATTAAATGACGTATACGGATGAAGATTCACTATAAACGGTAGGAGTGTCAAAAACCCTATATTGCATTCAAAAAACACATCTTGACCATGTTTTGGCATTATTCGGGGTCTTTCATGTACTTAAGGAAGCTTCATCAAATGATCTTTGTCCGCTTAACTGAAATTAAGGAATAATGTGAAAACCTTTACTGCCAACACGCTAAAAACTTGTTTGGTATGACTTAGGCGGTAGTCATTGGCTAGTTTAAGCCAAACGAGTACCGTGCTTTTGCTGTA